ACCGTTGGGTGGGCCGGGGCGGAAGGGAAACGGGCCGTAGGCGGAAGGGGGATTGGAGGCGGCAGGGAGGTCGGCGGGGGCGGGGGCGGAGCCGAGGGGGCGGGGCTTAGGACTGGGCGGGGGAGATATTTAGGGCTCCGGTCCTAGGGGCGGGGCTTCTTGGGGTAGGTGAGGGGCCGGGCTTAGGGAGGAGCCTATGAGGTCGGAGGGGCGGTGCTTGGGTGGGTTGAGCCTGAGGAGGGGGCTGGGTGGAACATCTGAATCTGAGACGGGTCCAGGGAAAGGCCTCCCAGGGACTGAGTTTGTCTAATAAGGGGGCGGAGCCTTCAGAGGGCAGGGCCTTAGAAATTTTAGGGCTAGTGAACCTGACTGGAAGGTTGGAAAGGTGACCCTGAAAGCCGGGTGTGGCGGTATGGTTGGGGCACCCACGTTGGGGTGGAGGGATGATTCTGCAAGGGTCTAAGTGATGCATCTCCATGCCCAAGAGAGGATTTGAAAGAGGGGAGAGATGACTGCTCCAGGTGACTTTGGAACCCCAGTCAGGATAGGAGAGTATCTGAGGACACTCTTTCATTCAGCAGACATTTACTGAGCTGGATAGATGGGATGTGAACAAGACAGATAAACTGTATTCTCTTGGAGCTTGCAGTCGAGTAGGGGAGAGAGACAATAAACAGGACTTATTGTGTTATGGTCCGTAGAGAAAGAGTGAGCTGATAAGAGTGGGGGGTAGGGGAGCTAAATTTAGACGAGAGAAGTCAGCTGTGTGCAGGCTTATATTTACACTGGGGTCAGAGAGATAAGCAGAAGCCGGATCGTGATGGATATTACATGACAGTTTTGGATTTTAAGTGCGGTTGGATTCATGGGAGAGTTTCGGGTGGGAAAATGATTTCCATCTGGTTTCCATTTTCAAAATGCCATTCAGGCTGCTCTGGGGAGGTGGGGTACCTCCTCCTATGCAGGCATAGGAACAGAGGCATTTAGAGGTTTAGGAGACTCTTGCAGTTGTCACAGTAAGAAATGATTGGCTTTTAACTGCAATGGAGGAGAGAAATGGCTGGATCTGTGATCTTTTTTGGATAGGAGGGGAATTCTGGATGGGCATATGCCAGAATCCTGGAGGATGGAGAACGGAATCTAGAAACTGAGGGGCCTGGTACCCAACAAAGGAGATGGGTGCTGGGGAGGCCTTGAGGCGGAGTCCACAGGCTCCTCTGTTTCTTTTCCCCCTCACCCAGGTTCTGGTGCCTGATGATGGCCGCCCGGCCACCCCCCCGAGTGACCTCATTGAGATCCAGGTGGTGAAGGTGACAGACACCACGCTGGTACCTGAGCCCCCGGAGCCAGGTCCTCTTCCACTGTGCCTTGTGCCCAGCTGCCTTCCGGCTGGTCTCCGAGCTGCTGTTCCACGAACATGGCCACCTGGCTGGGGTTGAGGGTGGTGGGCAGGGTGGGGACCCAAGCCGGTGTCACGTGTGCGGCCACAGCTGTCCAGGACCCGCCAGCCTCCGTGCCCACTACAGCCTGCACACGGGAGAGCGGCCCTACCGCTGTCCACTCTGCCCCCGAGCCTTCAAGGCCCTGGCGCCTCTGCTGCGGCACCAGCACCGCCATGGGGTGGAGGCAGGGACCTCTCAAAGGCCTCCGGAGGCGGCAGCGGCTCGAGAACAGCGGCCCGGGGTGCCCCGGGAGAGGTCGGAG